GGCACCCCTTCATAATAGAGGGTTTCTGGGTAGGCTTGGAAGGATTGAGGATCCAAGACTTGCAATGAAAGGATGGACTCACCTTTGACACAGTGAGGATCCCTTTCAGTGAAAAGAGGTAGTAGTAGGATGTAGGCTTAGATGTAAAAATTCTATGCTTGCTTGTGAACAGAAAATATTTACTTGAATGCTAGAAAAATTCCAAAGGTTTGACTGTAGAATTAAAGCAGAACTTCACCGTTTAGTGTCTTTTGGGGGGGGGGGGGGGGTTATAGGGTACCTGATTTTGACAGTAAACTCACTCCCACCGCCTAGGAAAATGGAGTGGAAGTTCCTCACCCCCTGCTTTCCCAGCAGCCTCTTGGGACATGTCAGAGGCCCCAGGAGACTGTGGGACTAATCATGGAGTGCAGTGTAAACGCATGCATGCACAGTGGGCAGCCAGCTGTTTGCGAAGCTGCAAGGAGTCATTCACACAGCATCCCTAGATTTTTTTACTTTTAATGTTTCTTACCTTTTAGAGATTTCTTAGGAGAAGGTGTCAAGCTGATTAAAGAAAAAAAAATAAAAATAGCAGACAGTCTCAAAGTAAAGCTGGCCATAAAAGGATCGAAATTCAGCCGGTTCAGCAGGGACTGGCTGAGATTTGATCCATCTATATGCAGGCAAAACACAACAGCACTGAGGGAGGCATTACTCCAACAGTGACTGATGATAGGGGAATGGAGCAATTTCCCAGAAAATTGAATACTGTATGGGCTGCACAAGTCAGTCCTGATTAACATACAATGCAAGAAGTCAAGCCTCTAAATCTTTAAAGAATAAGTTCACCTTTGGGAACATGTTACATGTTCCACCCGTCCCATCCCCCTCCTCCCTCCTGACAGATAGTAAGTTTCCCCATACTGTAAAATTTGAAAACAGCGAGGCTGTGCAGGGCTCCGTCCACACGGCCGCATCATTCATTCATGGACTTCTGTGAATTAATGAACTGCAAGTCACGACAGCCTTAGCTGCTGTTGGCTTGTAGTTTACAATGGACTACCATGGCGCTCTGGAGCGCCGTGGTAGTTCATTGAAGCTTCCTGTCAGAATATTTGCTTGCTCGTACATCCCGTATGCCAAGCAGATATTCTGACAGGTCTGCAGGAGACCTTAATGCCATTATAGTGAACGACTGATCGCTGGTGCAATGCTTTCCAGGCTCCTGTAGACAAAAATAATAAATGTACATTTTTTTTACCTGCAAAAAAATATGCATTTATAATTTTGGTCTAAAAAGGTGAACTTATCCTTTAACCCTTTGTAAAGGACAGACAGTGTTCAAATCTAGTTTAATTGATAATGAAGATCTTGTGTGCGCCGTACAATCAGGGTTAACTGTCGGAATCAGGGTCGCATTGTCATGCAATATATAGAAAAATACATTTGTTATAACATTATGATTGATTTTAGCTTAAAAAGATGAGAACATTTTCAAACATTTTTCTTAACATTTCCACACCCTTTTCCTCATCTAAATGTGCTGATCTAACCCACCCTTCCCTTCCTCCACTGCATCCTCACAGTTCTGGAACCACGTCCACCAGCATTCTGTAGCAATGTTTACCTGTGGCCAGTGTGCCTTCTACTGCATGTGTGCAAGGTTCTACTACACATGGGTAAATAGCAGGACCTGGACCAAGCATTAAGTAATAGTGCTGATCTCCTAACCTTCAGCAAGACTCCCAGTGCAAAAAGTCTCCCATCTCTAATATCTTATTTTTGTCATCATCAGTAGATCATGTGATATGTAGGGGCCACAAAAGTTTTTAGTGATGGGATACTTGATCTATGAAGGGAGCAGATTGCTAGTATATGCAATGATCGCTGAACATTAGAAGAGATCAGTAGCGCTATCACTTGATATCAGGTCCATTCTGGGGATGGTGTAAAGTCTTTGGAATAAGCCAAAAGGGTGCCAATACCCAGTACATTCGCAGTATCAGGAGGGTTATAATATTTAGTACCAAGCATCAGATGTTAAGTGCAGACTCTCCACATCAGCCATACCCAGCAGGAAACACATTAACAGTAGTACCTGGAGCAGGTGTGTTGCAATGGGACATGACATTCTGGCCCCTTCAGCTCACTCCACCAAAACCAACTTCTGCTGCTGGCTGGGAGGACAACATCTGGAGTTATAGCCGACAGCTCACTGCAGGGGCACTACAGACCACTTTACCTCAACCTTGCTTGCATATCCCTTCTAATCATGACTGAAACCTTCCCATCACTGAACCTTAACGCCCTCTCCAAGCTTCTGACCACTACAGCTGACCAGTGTCCTCATTCCCCCTACAGCAACCATCATTCTCAACACTGCACCTGACCCCTCCTCTCACCACCTCTCCCCAATTCACTTGCCACTGCTCCAGTAACTCCAACCCCAACCCCTTTCTGTATTGCTGCCACTGCATTAAATGTTCCCTTCCATATTCAGCTGGTCCAACAAACAGGCAAACTTTTGCTGGTATACTTTAAAGTTTTCCTACCTATTAATATGTGAGCCACCTGGGCCATTCATTTTCACCCTGATTAGGTGACTATCATGCCTTGTGTAGCTCCCAAGTCTTATAAAACGTGACAGTATTACTCATTTCTGTGCTACCTTCCACTTTGCCCCCCCCTCACCTTCCATACAAACTAACCAGCTTGTTTTGTGAGTGATGCACAGAACTGTTTGAAAAAAGGACAGTGTGCCCTAATGGTGGTCCACTCAAATGCATGGAGCTGGAGACAGCCAAGCACTATCCAATCTTGTTGAAAGCCACGTCTCAGATATCATGCAGGCAGAAGCAAGCCTCCATAGCCATATCAAGTCATTGATCTATATATACTAATGTTAGCAGGTTAACAACAATGGCTTGATTCACAATACTTAAGGATCTTGGGAAACTATCTTTCTATAGTTACCAAGCAGCTGGACTCTCAGATCTACCCATTGTATATGTATATCAAACTCTCAAAACAAACCTATGAAGAAAAACATGCAAGCTGCCATTTCTGCCACATGTCTGAAAATGATGGATGCATGATTTTCATGCCGATCCAATGGCTTCATTCCTTTATGGTTCACTGACCCCAGTTTATAGTCATGTAGGTGAGACATTTTGATTTTGCCTGCAGCATTCTTGTTCCAAGTCTGGAATGAAAGCTCATTTATCGCTCTCAGTAGAGCTCCCGACTGCATGTTTATCTCAGGTCACTAGGTAGTTAAGCCAGGATCATGACAACAGCTCCAAAGCTTTCCCCTTTAAGTCAGCAATGGCAGCTCCCATATTTTTATCCTCACAGGCTCACTTTAAAGTTGAGTCTGTTTGCACACCTGAACTTTTGGGAATGCACGTTTTAGGATACATCTAATATTTGCAGAACATGCAATAATTCTGCAAATGTAATTTTTTTATGACAGAGAAGCTAGACAACTATTTTTTTTAATGAAACCTGGCAAGTGTCGTATCATCTTACTTAGTTGGACTAACAGGTGACGTTATCTTCTGTTAAAAAAAAAATAAAAAAAATAACCCACACACACAATTAATGCATAGCAAAAAAACTCTAAACACAGTTTATCACTAGGGAAATGGAGAGACCAGCAGTTCTTAGGTCAGAGACACAGGAGTCACTGATACCAATAGCTCTTTTCAACCAAATAGGTATGCTTACCATTTTCACTGCTTACAGCATTCCTTATTTCATAGTAAAGGAAACATTTGTCATGATCACACAAATAATTTCATATTCTCAAAACAAAGCCAACACTGCAGTGAGGAGAGCTTTTCTACTTTATTACAAAGAGAAGAAGCCTTTATGTGGTCAGAAAATACAAGATTGATCTTTTTCTTCCTATGAAACGCTGCTGTTCAAACAGCCAGAGTGAATTGTCTCAGTTCACTTCTTTAAGTCCCATCATGTTCACTTGGGTATGGATGTCCTTGGCTGCTGAAAATCTGGCCCTTTAGTGCACAGGGCGACAATGGAGTCCCCTGACCAGCAGTTCCAGAATGTCCCATTTTCATATATTGCATCCATGCACACCTCCTAAAAATGAGGTACAGCAGGGCAAACATTTCCAAAATAGGTGTCATATATATAATATATACACATTCGTACATACATACCTTTATTCATGTGATGTCCAAAAATTTAAAAAAAATGTACACATTTATTACAAAATCGTAACAAAGACTGGACAGTGTTTTGCTCATTCTGGAAAGATGAAGCTCAGTAATACACAACTCTGGAAATTGTCCAAAGGTTGCGGCAATCTCTTTTTCTTCTAAATAGTGAGTTCTTGTTTGCCCATTCCCTGTCACAGGGGCTTGTAGATCTTTGCACTGCAATGAGGCACAAACCCCACTGGCCGAGAAGGGGCTAAACAAGGCCTAAAATCGCCTTTCAAAACAGAATGGGAGTAAAATGAAGGAAGCTGACCTTGCCCATCTTTCCAAATGAAATACGAGAAGGATCTTCACATAAAAATGCACAAACATGTGTTTCTTTTATTACCAAAAGTGCTACAATGAACAATGCAAACTTTGCTGTCTAATTTGTTTTTTTTTTTTTTTTTACCTCTCTCACTCTCTCGTTCTTCCTTTTTACATTTTGAAAAAAAAGTGGTAAACTTTGTCAGTGTACTGTACTGGTATGTGATGAACAGACCTAGGTCTGTCTGCTGGCATAAAATGAAAAAAAAAAAAAAAGTAAAATAAAACAAAAAAAAAAAAAAAAAAGGAGGAAAAAAAATACAGACCCTGCTCAAACTAAAAAAAAAAACAAAATGACAATTCTAGTTGTTGGGCAGCACATAATTAGTAAGGCAGGACCTCAAGTGATGATCCCTTTGCATGAGACAATTGCCAGATCCTCAAGGAATTAAAACCAGGATGCCTGAGCCACATCAGTTCTGCAGTTGAGTATTGTGCTGAGACAGCCATACCCCATGAACAGGGAAGTCTTTAGAAGGCTTGCTGAGCAGGATTGTAATTGAAGGTGGATGGCAGATGAGGCCTTTCTTCTAGCTTGTCATATTCCAAGTGGAACTCCTGAAAGGGGGAGAAAAACAAAAAAGGACAGATTAACCACTTGACCTCCAGAAGATTTTACCCCCTTCATGATCAGGCCATTTTTTTTGCTATTCAGCACTGCACTACTTTAACGGACAATTGCGCGGTCATGCAATACTGTACACAAATTACATTTATATATTTTTTCCCCCACACAAATAGAGCATTCTTTTGATGGTATTTGATCACCACTGGGTTTTTTTTATATATATAAATGAATAAGACCAAAAATTAAAACAAAAAAAAAAAAAAAAAAAAAACACAAAAAAAACTTTTCTATACTTTTTGCTGTAAAATATATCCAATAAACAAAAAATAAAATTTCTTTATAAAATTTAGGCCAAAATGTATTCTGCTATGTGTCTTTGGTAAAACAAAAAACCCCAATAAGTGTATATTAATTGATTTACATGAAAGTTATAGCGTCTACAAATGACAGTATACATACTGGAATTTTTTTTTTTTGTTGTTTTAATACTAATAATGGCGACGGTCAGCGATTTATAGCAGGACTGATACTGAAGCTGCCAATCTGACACTGACAGGGAGTGGGAACTAACACTGACATCACCAGTGACACTAATAAAGTGATCAATGCTAATAATATGCATGGTCACTGTACTAATGACACTGGGTAAGAAGGGATTAACATCTGGGGCAAGGGGTTAAATGTGTGCCTATCAAATGCTCACAAGTTTATTGTGTGCTGACTTTACTAAGGGATGTGACGGTTTTTATTCCCTGCTTTGCAGGGAGACAAAACACATTTCTCTCCTGTCATCCGCTCCACGGTTTGCGATCATATCACTGGCCGGGACCTGCTGATCAGCATTGTGCTGGAGCCAGTGACATCACAGTCAGGTAGGTGGGCGCACACTCTTACAAAAATAATCACATTTATATGTAATTCTGTGCTGCCAGCTCACGCTGTAGCAGTAAAACTACAGTGCGCTGTCGGCAAGCGGGTGAAGTTAAAAATTAAATACTTGAATTAGTGGAAGAGTGTTTTTAGGTTTTGGAGACTAATAGGATATCCAATATCTTGTTCATGGTAGGCCAGATTACTTTATGTATATTGAAGAGCCAGAAGTAGTAACTAAACTATAGGCGATTAAATCTGAACTCCAGGCAGGATAAAGTAGTAAGCATTAATTTAAGTGGGTATGTGTTCATCAAGTGATTTAAAAAAAATAAAAATAAAAAAAAAAATTGGTGTAAGTACCTGAATTTGACTTGGTATCAGCCTCTTGTAATCCCCTGTACAGCAGAGCTCAGACTGGAGAGGGAGAAGCAGAACAAGGAGCCAGTCAGTTTTGCTGCAGTGAGCATGTGCTAAGAAGGCACATGCAGATAGGAGGAGAGAACAGAACATGTGGGGGATGAACTCATCAGTCTGTTGCTTCTCCTTAACTGTTAAGTCACAGGCTGGGGAAGGGACACTGTTTAGTTGTATTACTTAACTGCAGTAGATCAGATCTCCAGGCTGGCTGTGCTGTTTGGGTCAATCTAAGAACTAGGTGGATAGACATGCAAATCCTTTGGCAGGTAAAACAGTTCCCATATATGCGCATTTCATCTTTGTATTTAGCAGTTTGCCTGGAGCTCAGCTTTAAATAGCAGTCAGTCATACCCGAGTGCCACAATGTCTTATTCCTTACAATTGTTAGATGCCACCTTCCCCAATCAAGAGCAACACACACACAAAGGCTGTTTTTCCAAAGCAATATTATTGTGCACTAGCATTTAGCTACCCCATGCCTGTTACACATGTGAAAAATTGCTAAGCTATTTATTGGGAGCCAGAACCTACTCGATACCCAGTGCCAAAATACCAGGGCAATTCCTAGTTTCTAATAAATATCATAATGACTTAAAACAGGGAAGTCAAAAGTGGCAGCCAGGCCAAGTAACAACTTGAGAAAGATGTCATCAATTGCAGCCCTTGTATTTGTCAGTTCAGGTTTTCTTTATACTAGCTGCTCAGAATGCCTTAGAGCAGCAGTCTGGTTACTGCAGTCATTTCTTATTGTCAACTATTTTTCAGAGTGAAAGTAAAATGTTTGCCTTATTAAATAATATATTTTCTATTTCTATTCAATTACACAGAATCAGGCTCCTCCATAATTAGGCTTATTTGATTTGTGGGACTAACTGAGGAAGCTGTATCAAGGTAATTTGAATTAGTGTATCTTTGAGTTAAAGCTTTTAGGTATTTGTGGCATAATGATTGTTCAAAACTAACAATTTAAATCGTAAATAAAAAAGCAATAATCATTTCAATGGGCCAACATCATCCTTCAAAAAAATAAAACCTGCAACAGTGATGGTCTAACAACCTGGGTAAAAAACCCTCAAATTTCGAACGGAAAAATTGATATATAGCTTACTAACATTTCATTAATATGTTTACCGTGGATTTCCACCTTTAACCCTCTGTGTTCTTGTACCAAAAAAGGATCAGGCCAATTTTCAGCGCTGTCGCACTTTGAATGACTATTGCGCGGTTATGCAACACTGCGCCTAAACTAAATTTTGTATCAGTTTGTTCACATAGATAGATAGAAATAGCTTATAATCAGAGCTTGACAAAATTTGCCAGCTAAAAAAAAGTTGGGAGCCAAACGTCACTACCCTATATTTTCTATAGGTGACACTTTAGAAGCCCCCTATAGGTTATCAATTTAGCATTAGGGAGGTGGTCTGGTGCTAGAATTACTGCTCTCATTCCGGCGTGCGCAGCGATATGTAACGTGTCTCGCAATTATTTTTATGCGTAGGTGTCCCAACGTGTTTACGTTTGTACCTGCGCATATGTAGGGGAGCCCACCAATTTTTCTTTTTGGGGGGGAGTGGAAGAATTAACGTGATTGGGTGTAAGTTAAATTTTTTACAATTAAAAAAAAAAATTATAATTTTTTTAAAATCAGATAGGGGACAAAAATGTGATGGATTATTTGGCGACAGGTTCCCTTTATTGAGACATGCAGGGTCTAAAAGAGGGGGTGTGAAACCGTATGTGTGAAAGTAATCGGGCAGCAGCGGAGTTACCTGAATGCTTCCACCGGACAAGGTAGCCTTGTTCCTTGACCTAAGCAGGGCTAAATATAGAGAGAAAAAAAAGAAACCTGCCGGGCAGTGCATGTCAGACAATACAAATTGTGTATCCAGGGATGTAACTAGAACGTTAAGGGCCCCGGTGCAAAAAACCATGAGGGGCTCCCCAACCCAACTGGTCCCTTTCCTCTGAGCCCGGCAAAAAAGAAAAAGAATGAAAAAAAGCTAGCTTTCACCCTAGTAGTTTGATCGGGTCCGCCTGTCCATTGTTCAGGCGACCCGATCAGACCCTCCTTCCACCTCTATGAAGTGGCGGGTGTAAACAAACATGTGTTCATTTACACCAGCTTACATCCAATCTGCTAAAAACAGACGGATGGGGGATCCATTCCCCATCATCTGAGATCAGATGGCAGTCGAGTGTAAATGAATAAGTGGTCCATTTACATCCAACTGCCCATAGAGCAGAAAAGGCTGTGTGTCTCCGTTCTGCATAAACTGAGCAGACAAGAACCAGTCATCCACCTGCTCAGCTGGGGATCAGCAGACAGATCCCTCGCTGAGCAAGCAGGGTTCCTGGCAGAGTCCACCCTGTGTGAAAGGGGCCATACAGAGAGAGAAGAAATAAAAGTAAAAAGAAAGGGAGGTGACGCAGCAGGTGACAGTAGTGAAGTGATCCCTGGTTTGGTTTGCAGAGACCATAGTCTGAATTGTGGGTGTATTACAAACAGCTGACACAGGGAGTTGGGAGTGATTGTAGGTGGAGCAGTGAAGTGTACACAATCCGCACGTATTGGAGATTCTTGCTACATTCCCACCCAGATGGAGGAAAGAGCAGCACAGTGCTCATAGATGGGCTATGGGAAGACATTGCTGAGTGCCAGGGACCTCACCTGAAAGCAGGGACACCTCAAGGCTGACACAAACAGGACGGCTGTCAGTGAGCTCACACCTGTTGCAGAGGGATCAGGAATTGGAGTGGACACCTCCCTGCTCAGACAGATCCGTGTGCAGTGGCACCTGGGGAGAGCCAGTGTCACAGTACACTGTACAGTCACTGGCACCTCCAGCCCAGTCGGATACTTGCCAGTGTCGTGCAAAAACAGCACCAAAATCACTCTTCTGGTGAGCAGCATGTGTCCCGTCCTGACCATGCAGCCAGTGTTCAGCTCACTGTGGTCCATGTCTCCTCCTCAGCATGGCTGAGATTGGGAAGTGGAGCACTAGAAGACGAAGCAGATAGGAAGTCAAATCCTTCTCTAAATACTCGGGCCTCTGCATGCACCTGATTGGTTGACAGGATGCTAGGCGGTCCTAGCAACCAATAGTTTTGAAAGGTGGGCTGGGCCCTCCCACAGTGGCGGCCCAGTTGCAAGTGTGACCTTTGTGAACCTGGCAGTTCTGCCACTGTCTGCATCTCTGCAACAGTGAATGGGCTGGCAAAAGGCCAGGCGCCGTGCCGCAATTTCTAGTCACCATGGCGACCTGGTATTTGTCAAGCCCAGCTTATAATATAGCATAAACAACGTATAGCACAAATAATGGTGAACGTGAAAGTCATTGAAAATTCCACTGGTCTGAGTGTGTAAAACCTACCATAAAAGAATGAATAAATGTCCACAAAAATTCATGGATAAAAAAAAATAAATAATCACACTTGAGTGCAATATTAATCTTCAGTATGTTCACATCAGCATTCTGCCACCAGAAGACACAAGGCCTTTATATGGCATCTGTGTAAGCCAACAGCTATTCACCAGCCCCTAGGCAACGTCCCTTGTGACAAAATGTCATGACACCTGGCCTAGGCTGAGCCAAGTAATCTTACAGGCTTGTCTTCATATGTTGCGTCTCTGAGTACCTTGCTTTTTTTTTTTTTAAAAAAAATGGTATTACTGTCTTTTGTTTCTCCTTTATATTTTGAA